CAGGTCATCCTGGTACAGCCCCAGCACAGCACATCTGCCAGCAGGAAAACCCCAATTATGGCACTAAGCAGTTCTGAGACCAATTAGCAGGGTCTGAACTTTAGGAGGCTGTTTAATTGAAGAGTTGAAGGACACGAGCCTGACTCGCTCGTGCTGCTGAGCCTGGAGGCACCGGAGTGGTGAACATAGATCATGAATTTTAACTGGCTTTGCTCACCCAGCAACCTCGTGCCCACAGGGCTTTTGCAGTCGGGAGGTTTTCGTGTTGATGTGAGCCCTGAGAACTGGCCCAAGCCTGCATTTATTGTGTTTATTTCTAATTATCAACACGTAAACGATGCATGGCAAAGAATCATCACGGAATCACAGAACAGTTTGGGTCGGAAGGGACCTTAAAACTCACCCAGTTCCAAGCCTTGCCATGGGCAGGGACTGTTTCCACAAGACCAGGTTGCTCCAAGCCCTGTCCAGCCTGGCCTCGGACACTCCCAGGTGTGGGACACCTCTCTGCAGTGTTGGTGCCCTCCCTGCCCTGTCTCATTACTGAATATTCACTCATTTCTTGTTGCTCCTGGGCACATTTTTGTGAAGCCAAGGAAGTCTGCAACAAGAAGCCTGCTTCCAGATCCTATCGATCCGAGGGGAGGGAGATGGAAAGCATTAAGTATTTAAATGGAGACAAGTGAGTCTGTGTTGCTGTGACACCCAGTAACCTCCCAGCCAGCACCTCAATTCCTAGTAAGGTTAAAAAAAATCATTTGTTCAATCAGTCATTAATGAAGCCATAAATCATTAGGAGAATAATTCTTCCCAAATTGAATTACTCCTTTCAATTTCCTTGCCTTTTTTTTTTTTCTCCTTTCCTTTCATTCCTTCATTCCCCAAGGAGCTGAGCAGAGTCAATGCATTGGAATTAGACTTAACCAGGTGGATGCTGCTCCGTAACTTGTTGACTTCTTTTCCTTTCTGGTCCCTCAGCTGTTCTTTTTCTCTGCAGACTGTGGCAGGAGAAAATGAAAATCGTGATGACAAAGCCCATGGATTCCCCTGAGGATAACTCAGTAAGGTTTGGGTTTTTATTTACCTTTGTATGGAATGAGTCCTTCTGGAAAACAGAGAGCAGGAGCCTGTCTCTGATTTTATCTTAATGAACATTACTGATCCCTGAGCTCCAGCTCAGAGCCTTTCACACCTTATCACTGCCAGAGCTGGGCTGAGACCTGATAAAGAGACACACCAAACAAGATTTAATCTGCCCAACATTTCTGCACCGCTGCCTCATCCCTAATGGAATCTTTACTTGTTTGCAGCCTCACAGCAAACGGGGAATGTACAAGTGGCAGGTGCAGAACAAAAATCTCCTGGTCCTACCACGCTTTGTGCTCCAAGTCCCAGGGAGCAAAACCCTGGGTTATTCTGTCAAAATGAAAAAGGGAAACCCTAGGGTATTTTTAGGAATTTCCTTTTTCCTTCTCTATTTCATGTTTCCCCCCTGAAACATGTAACATTTGTCGATTTATCCCCAAATCCAGAGCCCTCCACATCCTGCAAAGCAGAGACATGGCCATGACAGATTTTTTTCCACAAACTTCATTTGCTTTTCCCTTCTCCTCTGAGATTCATGAAGGGGTTAAAAACAATGTCTCAGTTTCTTTCCTTGCCCTCTGCACTGACCACCATCAGCTCTCCCAAGCTGTACTTGAAAAAAGTTAATTTTTATTTAAGCTCTTCCATCCTGTTTGATATTCATTATTCTTTTTATTATTTCTTAACTCAGCTGAGTTTCTTACCTTCTTTTCATGCAACTCAGCCTATTCTCCATTCACTAAATCCTCTGAATCCCCGAATTGCATTTGTGTTATCCTTGTTGTTATTGCTTACATCCTGTCTTGGCCATCGTGACATTTAGGTTTTTTTTTTCCCTGAGGCTTAGATTTGTGTGTGTGCGTGTGTGTGTGGATATATAATACATAATTTGCTGAGCAGCATGCAAACTGCAATCTCTGGGAGAATGGCAACCTGCATATTGCCAGAATGAGCATCAGTGAAATATGGGAAATTAATTTAGCCCCACGAAGTAGATAATTACTATTTTGCAGATTGAGAAAGTGGGGCATAAAGAGATTAAGGCCCAAGGACCCAACCTAGCCAAAACCCAATCATATGCTTAATTTAAAGGAGATTAGATAGTCCCCTTAAAGCCAGTAGGAACACTCCTTGCTTAATATCAGGCACACGTGGAAATGTTCTGCTGAGCAGAGCCAGGGTGGTGTTGGGACAGAGCTCAGTGAGGAAGGGCTTGTGCAGACCCAGCTCTAACAAACTTGGGCTGGAATTCACTCACAGGGACACCCCCTCACCATGACAGCCCCTGTCCTGCCTGTGCCTGAACTGCTGCCCATTTTCCAGATTAATTGCTATTACCTACTAATGTGTGTTAAATGCACTGAGGTTCTCAGTTAAGCAGCTTTAGGAAATTATACAAGAATTAATATATTATAGATGCTGCCTCGTGGGGTTAATCCAGCCACGTTTTTACTGCGTGTGAAACAGCATGAAAACGTGCTTTTCCCTCCTCCCAGAGCCCTCCAGGACAGGAAAAGCTCCCTCCTCTCCTCCACCCTGCCTGCTTTAGCAGGGGGTATGTTGCAGTGCTTGGGGCAGGGACAGATTCTCTGGATGTCCTTTCTGGATCCAGCAAAAACAGCCCATGGGAAAACACCAGTAATTTGAAACCCTGGTTGATGTGATCCAGAAAACACCAGTAATTTGAAACCCTGGTTGATGTGATCCAGAAAACAACAGTAATTTGAAACCCTGGTTGGTGTGATCCACTTTTGCCTCTTCCACGGGCCACCAGCACAAGATGCACCACGGGGAGAGTTCAACCGGGAATGTGACTCATCCCAGTGTTTGGCCAGGAGTAAAACCCCCATGGAAAGCAGGAGCCCCTGTTCCATCAGGGATGGAGAGGGTCTGAGTAGTCTGTCCAGGAGCTACAGCCTGGATGGAGGGGGATAATGGGGGGATGATGATGATCCCACTGCCTGAGCTCTGGAAGACTCAAATGCCAAACCTGACACGTTGGTGACACATTTGGTGGCCTCTCCCCGAAGTTTCACCTGCCATCCTCAGCTTTGGAGCTGGCCTGACATTTCAGTGCTGGTTTGGTTTTTTTTTTTTTTTGAATTTTGAGAACAGATGAGAGCACAGCAAGGCCATCCCCTCCTCCCACAGCAGAGCTGGAGTGCAGGTCCTGAGGAAGCTGCGTGTCTCATCTACACCCTCATCCACCACGTGTTCTTCACACATCGCTCCTCAGCAATGGCCAAGGCTGCTGTGGTCCATCTAACTTGTCATATATTTTTCAAACTAATGTACAAATAGAGTTTTACATAAAATACCAGAGCAGAAGAGTTATGTCAGTCCTGTAGGAAAGTAATACCCATCTTAATAAAGTGTGTAAATACATATTTATCTGCTAGACTGGAATCAGAGAGGCTGTTCTGGTCTGTTGGAGAAAAGAAATACACACTTTAAGACTGTCTAGGTACATAATTACCTTAGAGAGAGAGTGAAATAAATCATCAGTGTCTTCTTGCTGTCCTGAGCTCTCCTTAACTCCTTTGCCAGCAATGAGCATCCCCAGGCTCAGTGCAAACCCACCCAGCAATAATAAGTGAGCCTGGGAGAGAAACCAGTATGCAGAGTGGTGGGGCAGACCCTTCCTCTGAGCTTTGGAAATTCCTCTGGAAGCATTTGGGTCCTACCCAGCACGGGATATATCTATTATTACTGATGGAATGAGACGTTGAATCTACAGAGACAAAGTTAAGTGAAGGAGAATCGATTCGGGAAAGATGCGCCGGCTTTACCCGCCTCCCGATGGCGCCTGACTCGCAGGGAGGGACTTGAAGGCTCTAGGTCCAGCTCTGAGCCGGGTTTTGGGAACGGTTTGACCACCCCCCTCCATCCTCCCTGCCTCTGTTCCTACTCAAGATATGACGTCGTCTCCTAAAAGCCAAGCTCAGCTATTTTGGGGGGTTGCAGCCGTTCCATTTTATATTAAACTCTGCTCGTTGTCCATGAGGAGTTAATGAATAGATGGAATAGATGCCTTAATGAGCGGCCAGTCGATGAGGTGCAGCCTCCAGTCGATAACACACTGACAACGTCCTCACGGGCATCTGCAGCAAAAACTCCTCGTGTCTGCAATATGCTTATAACCACTGTTAATTATTTATTGGGCTTTTAGAAAACGTTTCCAAGTGGGTCCCAGAATAAAAGGCTGCTGGCTCCTCTTCCTGTCTCCCGCTCTCCCTCTCCGTGCAGGCACCAGGGAGGGGCTGCATCTCCACACACACACGCACACACACCCAAGCCTGGGGCCAGGCAGGGTCGGGGCGGGGGACAGAGCTTTGAACAAGGACACGGCTCCTCTCCTTAATTTCTCGGCTGTTTCCTGAGCTGGTGGAAATCGGCTCTGCGAGGGAAGCACGCACAGCTCCGGATCTGCAGCGCTGCGAAAAGGCTCGAGCGGCGCAGCACCGGGGGATGCTCAGGGAGGACGGGCAGCGAGGCACACACAGACAGGGATAAACTTAGCACCAGCCCTCGCCAGGCTGTCACATTCACATGAACACGAAGAGGCCAAGGACTCCGAGCACCGAGATGCCCAAGTTGCTTTTTCCGAAGAGCCGGGACGCGGCGGGGAGGTGCCAGACCGGGCTGGGTTCGAGATGCAGCCTCTGAGAAGAAAAATGAATTATTCATCATGGCCCAGCCTGGAGATCCTTGGTGATAAATAATGCTAAGTAGGAGCTTGCTACATGCCTAAGCTACAGCCTGCCCCTACGCTGCCTCCTTCTATTTTTTGTTTTTTTTAAGAGTACTATGGATTACAGAGCACAATTTGATGGGATAAGTAGTGTTTGAAATTGTTCTTTAGGCTGGAAGGCTCACCTCCTTTTGCAAGGCTCCTGGAAACTGCTCTTCAGTTGCATTCTTCAGTCATTGCTCCCAGCTGTGTGTCAAAGCACACCCCCCCAGAGATTCAAGCACCAGTGTCATGGAGTTCCCTGGGATTTGTTCAAACAAATGAATTTTGTATTATTTTGATGGCAAAAGAGGATTGATCTTGGCTTCCCTCCACCTTTCCCCTGCATCTCCACCCCATGCTTCACAGGGAATGCAGCCCCAGCCATGCAGCCTCGGGCAGGAGCTGGTGGGGCACCCCAGGATGTTCAGCTGACACCTGCAAAACGGTTGAACAGAATCACAGAATGGTTTGGGTTGAAGGGACTTTAAAGCTCATCTCGTTCCACCCCCTGCCATGGGCAGGGACACCTTCCACTAGCCCAGGTTGCTCCAAGCCCTGTCCAACCTGGCCTTGGACACTTCCAGGGATGGGGCAGCCACAGCTTCTCTGGGCAACCTGTGCCAGGGCCTCCCCACCCTCACAGGGAAGAATTTTTTCCTAGTATCTAATCTAATAGCATCATTATAATTAATCACTCCTAATGACTGCTTGCAAATAAAGGGACAGACGGTGCCACCGTGTCCAACCTCTGGCAACGCCCCAGGAGCTGTGCATGAGCCCAAACCAGGTGATTAAAATTCTGTGTTCCCTTAAGAGCCCATTTCCTTTTCTGAAAAGCAAGTATGTAAACACAGCCTTTCCCTGGGCTAGAATTTACTGAACCTGCAGCCCTTTGGCAAGGGATGGTTGACAGTGAGAGGTGGGACTACTCTCCACCTCTGCCAGGCAGCTGCATCAGGAAAAGCCCAAAGGAAGGAGCAGGGCAGGGCTTAAAGTGGGCTTAATTTATCTGCCAAGAATATCACTTAGAGAAAACCCATGGGCTACAGCCACAGGGTCAGGAGCTGTTTCTATCCACCGGTTTCAAAACAAGTGGGGTCTGGCAGGAGCACCTGAAATAACGAGCTGGGTCTTCTCCAAGGGGAAGGGCAAATGAACCAGGAGCAGCTGTGGCGGAGGAGCTGCCACTGCACCTCCTGCCTGCTCTCCTCTCCATCACTTGCTGATGCAAGGAATTATCTGCTTGTTGTGCTGGTAACTGGGGACATTCGGTTGTGCCAAGAAAGGAGCATGCCATGGGTACAGTGCCATCTGCCAGTGTGTGAGACAGGGCCAGCACAGTTACGGGGGCGTGGCTGTGCCTTCCCTGCACACCTCCACGGCCCCAAGGTCACCAAATGCCAGGTACCCCAAACTCCTGCAGGTTCAGCAAGCCCAGAGGCCACAGTGACAGCAGGAGCGTGGCACAGGGTTTGTGCAGGCTGTTTGTGGAGCTGGGGGTGAGGTTGAGACCTTGGCAATGAAGTGGTGGGGTGGGGGGAAGTCTCTCTCTTTTCAGCAGGATGACTCTGACTTGCTGCACTCCCTTTTATTCCCCACCCCAGCAAACCAGAGGAATCCTGCAGGCTCCTTCCCATAAATGAGTAAATTCCTCCACAGGACTGGGCAGGAGAGTTGTGCACCCAGGAAGCTGAGGATGCTTTAGAGGCTGTGTTTTCCCACTGGTGCTGGAAGCCTGTTGTCCCCATTGACGTCAGAGGGAATTTTGAGCCTGCACCGGCTCTGAGCATTTAATCATTTGTGACCTCTCTGAAGAAACCTGGGAAATCAGCAGCAGAGTTAAAAGCAGAGCCCAGGAGTCCTGATCCCTTCGTCCTTCACTTAATCACAAGACAAAGCTTTCTCCTGATGGAAAGCAAACAGAGGAGAACTGGAGCAGAGGTTTGCCATGAATTAAAATTGTTCTCACTATTGCCCAGATTGGAGTTGTTAATCCCAGTTTCTTCTGGTTTCTGCTCTTCACTCACTTCCATGTCTCAGCCTGCAAAGGGAACATGAAGGATGTGGCTTTGCAGGAGCCTTTGAGTTCACTCTGGCTGGGTTTTGCAGTCCTCAGTATGGAGGGTTGAATGGCACTTTGGAAGCCCAGTCTCAGCCATGTCCTCCACTGACACATGAGCTTTTTTCCATTTGACCAGTATGTGTTGCTTGCTGGGACTGGGGGATCTTCATCCCTACAAATTTTGAAGGCAGTTTAACCTACATCCACCTTAACTGCTGCCAGAGGTGCTGGTTCTGCCCAGGGGCAGAGGGGTCTGCTGCCTGTGACCCTCTGATTTCCCTGCACCCTAAAACCAGCTTCATAATCCAGAATTAATCTGGGACATCACATTGTGCCGTGGTCATATAGAATCATGGAATCATAAAATATCCTGATCAGAAAGGGAGCTACAAAGATCATTGAGTCCAGCTCCTGGCCCTGCACAGGATTACCCCAAAAATCACATCATTGCATGGTTATTTTTAAGAGAGCCCCCACCAGCCTGTGGGTCACCAGTGGTTTGGCTCTGGGATAACTCACCAAACTGACTGATCCTCTGAGGATGACTCCATGTCCTGATGCAATAAAACATGAAACATAACACATTTTTCCTGGAGAAACCTGACACTGTGTGTTAGATCTGGGGTTAAGGAGGCTCAGACTACCTGACACAAGCAAAAGCTTCCTTTAGAAGACGCATTCCTGAAGAGGTTTGCCTTGAATAGGCCCTTTGCTTTTCTGTGCCTTTCTGCACTAGAAAGCAGGGAATTGACTGCGTTTCAACTGCTTTAATTAAACTGAGTTAAAATCCATCAGCACAAAGTTTCCTGCTATGCCTACACAAAATCTGTTCAATGAAAAAGCCAAAATACAATGGCTATTACTTTCTGTCAAGTTCTACAGGATTTTCTTTTTTTAAGAGAGGCTGAACAGCTCATTCTGCACTAGTTAAATTCCACCTTCCACTCCTAAGCTTTTTCTTTCAAATGGATATATCTTTGTTAAACAAGCCAGGCTGAAATCCTGCCTTTTCCATCCATCCTCTTAAGGAGCTTGAGTGATGCAACCCCGTGACACAGCCCAGGGAGCAGGATGGAGGGTGATGGAAGCAGGGGCAGCAGGGTGATGGAAGGGGCAGCAGGAATCCTGCATGGAGGGCCCCACTTTCACAGCAGGAAGGGGGATGTGTTGTCAGTGTGCATCCAGAGCAGGTCACTTCTGGTTTCAAACAGCATTTAATGTCTTCTCTCTTATGACCACATCGGTCAGAAGTTCCATGGATTTAGAATGGGAAGCTGCTCTTGCCAAGCTCAAATGTTTTTTTTTCTCTCTTTTTTTTTTTTTTTCAATGCAAGGCACACCTTTATACACCTCAAGCTGTGCATTTAGTGCTGGTGGCAGCTCGGGGTGGGCTGGGATAGGTGTGGTGGAGGCAGCTGCCCTGGTCTCTGCCCCACTCCTCAAGAACAGGACACTGCACTCCTGCCTTAATCCCCATGGAATGCTTTGGGAGCTGTGCAGGGAAAGACTCTTTAAATATATGATGAGGCATTAGGATACATTTGCTGCTCCTACTGTGATATGTGCCATTTCCAAAGGGTGAAAGGGCGGGTTCTTCATGCAAAAAGAAGCACATGGGACTTAAAATATGCCAAGCACTGCTGCTGAGCATCTCTTAGTATCATCTTATACCAGCAACCTCTGATGGGGAGATTTCCAGGAGGATTAAACTGCAAAACCCTTTTCCGGCATCTGCTGCTTGAAGAGAGAGGGTTGCTATGGCAACAGCATCTGGCCTATTCACATGAGTTTTATAAGGGAAGAAACAAATAAAAAATAAAGCAAAGACAACACACACGTTGCACAAAAAGAGAGGTGACTTTGTCTGCCTTCATCAGAGGGAGAGTCAGAGAATAACGAATAATCCAGCCTGGCTGTTGGTTTAAGTGTGTGTTTGCCACCACGTTCCTGCATCCCCTCCAAAGCTGGGGGGTGGGACATGGGCAGAGGGGCCTTAGTTTAACAAGGAGAGGAGGATCCACGACGATCACACACGTGTTGGTGCATGTGCTGGGGAGCCTGGGCACTCCCTGACTCCCAGGGGGGCACTGGAGCAGCTCCCAGGCATTGCTGGCCATGGTGGGCTCTCCTGGTCCCCAGCCATGGGGTCCTTCTCCTCCTCTGCATCCCTGAAACCTGACTGCCAGCACTGACCTCCAGTAAGGGCTGAGGGGCTTCTCTGCAGGGTTGGAGTCAACAGATCCTGGGGTAATCAGGGTGATTGAGTTTTTCCTGGGATATGGATGGGGAGGAGCCCAGGGATTTCAGAGATGCTCCTAAGCAGGTATGAACTCCTGCATTCAGCACACTTTAATGAGCCTTTCTTGCTCCAGCCCAGCCCAACACAAGGCCAGGCCATTTCTCTTCCCATCCCAGGAGAAGATGGGTTTAGAAGGAATGTTGTAGGGAAGGACAATGGGTGGGTCCATGCTGGGTCAGGCACCAGCTGTTCTCCACTTTTCCTCCACCAGCTCCAGTGTGTCCTTGGGAATGATCTCACTGTTAAGTAGAGAAATTTTTCTGGATACTCTTTGGAGACAATCTCTTTATCAGCTTGATTTGTATTTCAGGGCAGAACAGCAAATATTAGTGATGGCTCCAAGCCAAAACATTTGGACCAAGGTCTGGAGAAGGTCCAGGGTAGAGACAGGCAGCCTGCACATGTGAACCTGCTAATGGGGCCCTGACAGCTGACCAGTTAATCATGGCAAAACACTGGGAAGAGGCAGAGCTTTTCCAGGCAGTTGGCGCCGGCTGGGCAGGCATGAGGTGCCTACGTGGCCCAGCACTTTCGTGCCAGGGGCACAGAGAATCCAGATCCCAAATACTGGCAGGTCTGCTGTGGGTAATTCTATTACACACTGGACAAGTGGTGGGGCACAGAAGGGCAGTAACTTGCTCAAGGACATAAAGTACAACTGGATCAGGTGATTAATCCAAGCCTGATCCGTGCTGGCTGGACGCTCTGGGGAGTTACTCCTCCTCCACGCCCACATGGGTGGTTTGAAGGCCAAGCCAAAACACTGTGCCATAAGCACCAGGGCTTGTCCTCAAGCTCAGGCAAGCAGGGTCGTTCCAGAGATCCCATCCATCACCAAAGCCCCGTCCAAGCCCAGCATACATTCCTATTGTTTTCAGGAACACACACAGACCCAATTTACCATCTGGTCTGGAACTCTTTATGCTCTGAGCTTGATGCAAATCAACACAGCTCCACTAATTGCTGGGATGTTAATGATGCTCATGCCAAGGCACAGTCAGGCTGAGCAGCCCAGTGCCAGCTCTGCACCACACTGACAGCGTGACTGTCCTGCAACCTGAGAGGTGCCACGGCCCCTCAGTCCCGTCCGTGGCTTGCAGGGCAAGGTTCACCTGCCTTGGGATGCTCCCAGAGCCTAAAATGCAAAGGTGACTGCAAAAAGAGCTAAAAAAGCAAAAGGAGTGGTGATGTAAAGGAGGAATTGATCCCTGCAGATGCCCTGCCCTGCAAACGCCTCGGTGTGGAGAGGAGAGGGCAGGTAGGGAGAGACACGTGTTGGGTGAGTCTTCTCTGGGAGCAAATGAAATCCTTATTGCAGATTCAGACAGGGAAAATATCTGAGGCAGTGCAGTGAAAAGCCTGTGCCTGCAGAAGGAGGTTGCAGCAATTAGCACCTCAGCACCTCCTGGATCAGGCAGCCTGCCTGCCCCTGGCCCTCCTGCCCACCACCTGCCTCCTCCTGCGGGCACGGAGCAGGGCTGGAGCTCTGGAGATGCTGCCCAAAATAGTCACAACCAACATCCCACAGCCCCCAGGGCCAGTCCTTCCTGCTGCTGCTCCAGCCCAAGTGGGGAGTCACTGGTTTGCCTGTAGCAGGGGGACTTCAAGCAGTTCCAAATGACCCTGTCGCTGCAAATCCACAGAGCTGTGGTCGAGCTGCAAAGGAGAGGCCAATTTGGGAACCTGAAGCAAATGTATTCCCATGACTGGTGATTAGGAAGAGGTTCAGATTAGATGTAAGGCGCCACGTGTGTCTATGCTGGCTCATGGCCGTGAATCCTTAAGCATCTTCCCCAGTAACCTCCCCCTCTTCTTCATTTTGTTCTTTCACGACTGATCAGTGATTTCTCTTCCCAGCACTTGAAACAAGAGAATAGGAATTTTAGGACACTCTTCTGGACTTATTTATTTACCCACTACCTTGCCCCACGTGGAGGAAAACACCCTTTTACCTGCTGAGACCTCCCAGGACAGGCACCAGCAGCAGCACTGAAGCCACCCCGATGTCCCCATGGAAAAGGCAGCAGTTGTTTATGTACCCCAGGAGGGTCACACAGGCAGTGCCTGTCAGGATTGCCAAAGGAAATGGGGCAAAAGGGATCTGTGGGGAGTTCAGATTGCCCTGAGACCTCTCTTTGCTCCAGATTTTAGCTTGGATTGGAGGGGATCAAACATAAAAACAGGGCAGGGCTTGGGGCTGGCAGCAGCAGCAGCTCCAGTTGGAGTGGATCAGGAGCGGTGCAGAGGAGACTGCAACCTTCCCATGCCAACTGTCCATAAAGGATTTCTTGTTTCCTTTCATTAGCCTATTCAGGCTAATTATTTTCAGGTGCACTGTTCCAAGCTTAAAGAAAAGAAAATTGAGTCACTAAGGAGCTGATGCTGCATGGGATGGGCAGGGCTGGCAGGATGTGGGTCGGGACTGAGGTAGGAGCAAGGATGAGGAGAACCTGATCCATCACCCAAAACCCATCTGGGTTCAGAGGGTCCAACCACTTGCCCAGCTGCCATATATTGTATCTCTGCAGCCGAGGAGGGGACCAGCAAAGCTCCACCAAAACCCCCCCAGGTCCGTGCAGAAATGACCCCAGAAAGAGCTACGGGCTGGCACCAAGGGCAATGCCCCACTCTGGAGAGCCACAACCAGCCCAGGGCTGTACAACTGGCTTTAAATTGCCTGCTCTCCCCCTCTTTTTATTATTCCTTGTTCAGCTGCAGTGGCAGTAAATCCTTTAGGAGTTTTCCACAGATCCCCTCCGAGGATAAGGCAAGGTAAATGAGCCACTCTGGTGCTGCCCCGGTGTTTGCCCAGCCCTGATTTACACCTTCCCAGAGAGCACAGGACATGGATTAGGGCCAGGCTCTTGCTGCTGACCACTGCAGTACTTCTCCCCCTTCCCTGAACCGTGGCCTATTTTGGAGCTAATAAATCCCCCCAGCAGCCTGTCAGCTCCTCCTGGTCAACCCCAAAGAGTGGGAAAGGGAGGAGGAGAAAACGGGGGAGGGGGAAACTGGCATCACCATGGCAACCTGCTCTTTCCTGGAGCTGCAAAACCTTAATGTTCCCACTCCCCATTTTTCAGTTGTGTTGGATCAGGCGAGGATGACAGTCGGCATCACTACACGTTACAAGTGTCGGATGCTCATGGAGTTGTGTTTCAAAGCAAGCTGCACATTTTGTGCAAACTCCTTCAGGATGACTGGATCCAGGTCCCTCCATGGATCACCTCCAGGAGGTGTCTGTGTGGTTTTGGGCAGCAGGACCATTCCCAGGGCAGGGAACACTATTGCCTTGCCATGCTCAATGTGCCACCTGGGCTCTGCCAGGGCAGGGGCCCCCTTGGTCACAGTCACTGCCCTCCCAGGAAGTTGCTGCTGTAAATCAGGTTTGCTTTCTGCCTCATTCCCCCTTCTTTTGCTCCTT